TCAACCACTGCGCCACCAGGGAAGCCCTACTCTTTGCATTTTTTTGGTTGGTTTTTTTTTTTTTTTTTCAATTTATGAAATTGTCAATTAGTTTTCTTCCTATCTACCCACCCCCACCCAAAGTTTCAGCTATGCAAATGGAAAAGGCATACAAACAGGAAAAAGCCCAGAGGAAACACCCACATTAGCAGAAACCACAAAGCTAGGTGAAGACAGACAGCCTGCTTTAAACAGTTAAACAGAAATCATGCTTGCAGAACAATATCTTGACCTTGAATTAATGAAAGATCACACTTCATAGAGCTACTTGACGACACCAGTAGCTAAGTTAAGAAGTCATGCAGATCTCGGTTCAACACTAACTTTGCCAGCTATCAGCTATGTGACCTTCGGTAAAATTCTAAACAGCTCTAGGCCTGAGTTACCTTACATTAAGATGGGGCTTAGGGACTTCCCCGGTGTTCCACTGTTTAAGAATCCGCCTTCCAGGCTTCCCTGGTGGCGCAGTGGTTGAGAGTCCGCCTGCCGATGCAGGGGACATGGGTTCGTGCCCCGGTCCAGGAGGATCCCACATGCCACGGAATGGCTGGGCCCGTGAGCCTGCGCGTCCAGAGCCTGTGCTCCGCAACAGAAGAGGCCACAGCAGTGAGAGACCCGCCTACCGCAAAAAAAAAAAAAAGAATCCACCTTCCAATGCAGGGGATGGGGACATGGGTTAGATCTCTGGTCAGGGAACTAAGATCCTACATGCCGCAGGGCAACTAAGCCCGTGAGCTGCAACTACTGAGCCCACGCATGCTTTAGAGCCCGCACGCCACAACTACAGAGAAGCCCACGAGATGCAACGAAGAGCCCACGTGCCGCAATTGAGACCCGATGCAGCCAAATAAATAAATTAAATAAATAAATATTTTTTTTAAAAGATGGGACTTACAACACCTACCTCAGGAATCATAGTAGAGATGAACTTGGATACCATCTCTAAAGTGCTTATCATAGTACTTGGTAGACAGTTATTTGTTCAACATATGGTAGTTATTATTTGTGCCAGAACTGGGATTAGAACTCCATGTGTGGGCGTATGTTTCAGCAAAGCAAATAGAAATACCCAAAATGATGGACCAAAACTAATTATCCAATAGTGAAGCAAGCCCTGCTGTCAACTAAAATGTATAGTTAAAAGCAACATCAGAGAGACTTCCCTGGTGGCACAGTGGTTAAGAATCCACCTGCCAATGCAGGGGACACAGGTTCAAGCCCTGGTCCGGGAAGATCCCACATGTCGGGGAGCAACAAAGCCCGTGAACCACAACTACTGAGCCTGTGCTCTAGAGCCCGCAAAGCCACAACTACTGAGCCCGTGTGCCACAGCTACTGGAGACCGTGCGCCTAGAGCCCATGCTCCGCAACTAGAGAAGCCACCGCAACAAGAAGCCCACGCACCGCAATGAAGAGTAGGCCCTGATCGCCGCAACTAGAGAAGGCCCACGCGCAGCAACAAAGACCCAAAACAGCCAAAAATTTTAAAAATTTTAAAAATAAAAGCAACATAAGAGAAAAGACTGGAACAGCAGAACTGATAGGAGAAAGCCCATCTATAAATAATAGTACTACAGAGGAAAATGTAGACGTCCAGCAAAAGGCAAACTATCCTCATGCAAACAGAGAACAGTTACCAAAGTGAATGGTAACCTCAACATGGGTATCAACTAGTCAACAGCGCCCACCAACCTATAATCCACAAAGAAAGCCCTTAGACTCCCACGTGTCAAGTATTAGAAGATGAGGATTTATAAGTTGCTAAGAAAGGGAAAATATTTTAAAACATACCTGGGAAAAACATATTTTCTAGGCTTTTAGGCAAAAGAAAAAGAATTCTCCCAAGGGTCCTTATTATGAGGACACAATGTACATTAATGGATTAAAAATTTGTAATTCCCAAACTCAAAAGTGATATAAAAACATTTTAAAAATAAGACTGGGGCTTCCCTGGTGGCACAGTGGTTGAGAGTCCGCCTGCTGATGCAGGGGACACGGGTTCGTGCCCCGGTCCAGGAAGATCCCACATGCCGCGGAGCGGCTGGGCCCGTGAGCCATGGCCGCTGAGCCTGCGCGTGCTCCGCAACGGGAGAGGCCACGGCAGTGAGAGGCCTGCGTACCACAAAAAAAAAAAAGAGAGAGAAAAAATAAAATAAAATAAAAATAAAAATAAGACTGGACCCATACATTTAAGAAATAAGAATTTATCACTCAACTAAAAAAAATGATAATAACTTTAATGAATCCTCCAGAGAATCCACCCAAACTTGCATAGACCAAATTATTTTTACAGACCATATTATTCATATAGAACATATTATTCATCTTTTAAAATATAAAAAAGTGCAGGTTAACTACCCAACTTATAAGCGTAAAATGGTTTTGAGTTGCAAACAACAACAACAAAATAATAACAACAATAATAAAACAAAAAACTAAAGTTTCTAAACCTACTGCATGTAACAAATTAAAAGTTTCTAAATATATTAAATATATAACATATTGAAACCATTATGAATTATGACTGTGTAGGTTTTTTTCCCTGAAAATGAAAGTCCAAGTATAGGGCAATCAGAGAAATTTGAACACTAACTGGACATTATATGATATCAAAATTATATTCGTAGGGACTTCCCTGGTGGCGCAGCGGTTAAGAATCTGCCTGCCAATGCAGGGAACACGGGTCTGGGAATATCCCTCATGCCGCAGAGCAACTAAGCCTGTATGCCACAACTACTGAGCCTGTGCTCTAGAGCCTGTGAGCCACAACTACTGAGCCCTCACGCCACAAATACTGAAGCCCACGCACCTAGAGCCGGTGCTCTGCAACAGAGACGCCACTGCAATGAGAAGCACACGCACCGCAACAAAGAGTAGCTCCCGCTCGCCACAACTAGAGAAAGCCCATGCACAGCAACAAAGACCCAATGCAGCCAAAAATAAATAAATGAATAAATAAATTTATAAAAAGAAAATATAATCGTAAAAAAAGTGATCATTGTACTGTGGTTATACTAATAAAATAGAGTTTTTAATCTTTGGAGATACTAAAGTATTTACAAAGCAAAGAGTCTCTGGCATTTGGTTTAAAATAACACGTTTGAGTTGGGGACAGGGATGGGGAGGGGAGAATAAATGAACCAAGACTGGCCTTACTGTACTTTGAAAACTGTTGAACCGATGGGCACATAGGGGTTCATCATTCTCTTTTCTTTACTTTAGTGTATGTTGAAAATATTCATAGTAAAAAATTAAAAGATAAGAAGCCTATGTATTTAAAACTAACAGCCAACACTAACTGGTGAAGAATTTTTCACAACAGAAATGATAACAAAGCCTTCCATCTCCATTGTTATTCGGTAGAGTGCTAGAATGTTCCTTCCTCTTTACTATTCTCTACCCTCTTTTCCTCCTTCCTGATTTTATTTGCCGACTTAGATGACTCCTTCCATACACATAACTTCCTGAAACTCAGAAATAGACTTTCAAATTGTTGCCTCACGACATAATAAATATTTCTTTTTAACAATGGGGCATATTTTTAAAATTTTAGTTTTGCTCTAAACAAATTTTTTTTTTAATTATCTCCTCTACCACATCCATTTAAAACATCTGTCTTTTGTATGTTTTATCAGACAAGTATTGCGAGTGAGTACTCTAAAGTTTTTCGCTAATAAGCGCATACTGGAAAGTTTGATGACCACCATTTTGGACACTAAGACACCACTTAAAGTTCTTAAGGATGGAGGAAGTGTGACAAGTACTACATCAAGAAAAATAATTTAGCAGAAGTACATACGGATAGGAAAGATGGGGAGAAAGGCTATGGTCAGAGAAAATCATTCATTAATTCAACAAGGCATTCATTTAGAAGTGAGATGCGAAGTAGGAACCAGACAGGGAAGGGACGGGATTGGTCAATAAAAGAACTTGGTGTTTAAGGTATTACAAAGGAGGAAGGACAGTTTGGGGTTTGGGGGGAGTGTCACAGACCCTGCCCCGGGGGAAAGAAGATGAGTTCGACACAGCCTGGCAGGATATTCAGGTGCAGATGCTCCTCAGACCCCTGGAGATGAAGAACCTAGAGTCAGTAGGAAGGCCGGGGCAGCGGATGTACACAAGGAAGCCATCTTTGTAGATCTGACGACTAAACCCAAGGAAGTGAGGGCTCTCGGGGAGAGACCTGGAATACAGATACATCAAAAGGCTTAGCTGAAACCTTGCGGCACACCTGTATTCAGGAAGCAAAAAAAGAACAAGTGGGAACACAGAAGCAGCTGCCTGGGAGATATGGCACACTGTCTCAAAGTGGTCCCAAAGGTAGGCGGTCAGCGGTGCAGGCCACCGCGGGGCCCACGGGAAAGGAGCTCTGGAAGAGGGCCCATCATTGGTAACCTTGAATAGAACCATTCTGGTCTTGGTGGTGCGGGCTAGAGTCAGATATCAGAAAAGTGATAATGAGGGGAAAGGAGGAGCTTGGAAAGGAAGGCCAAGCAGAGATCCGCAGCTCGCAGCGATGGAGACAAATTCCGGGATCGAGTCGGCTGGGGGGCTGGGAAGACCACACAATACCTAGGGAGTAAGGTAGCAGAGAGGGAAGACTCAAGATTCCAGAGAATGGAGGCATTTTCTTTCGTTCCCAAACCTGCATCCAAATTGTCTAGGCCCTTGCTTGCCCGAAAGTACTTTATCCTTACGGAGGTGGGGAGTTAATCGTAGTCTTCACCGGGGCAGTAGCGCGCTAGCCATATTCGAAGGAAGGTCTGAAGGCGCTGGAGGGAAGGGAACCTTCGAGAGCAGAAGCGTGGGCCCAGCAAGAAGGGAAGCAGAGGAGTGAGCAGCTGGAGGAAGAGGCATCGGGTGCGAGGTCCCCGCGAGGGCGCGCCCCTCACGGAGCAGCAGCCGCGACAGTCCTCCCAGACCGGGACCGGGGAGACGCCCCTCCCTCCCAGGGCACTCACCGCTCCGACTGCGAATAGTGGCACCGGCCCAACAGGTTGAGCTTGCAGAGGTGCAGGTTTCCGCAGGGTTTGTTGCAGTACTTGCGACGGCAGACCCGGGCTCGAGTGGTGGCCACCACGGACCGGATGACCCCTTCCTTGCCGCCAGTCTCCAACACCACGAAGCGGTCGGGCCCGGCCTCTTCCAGCACCTCGCAGACTTGCGCCTCGGAGAGCTGCATCTCGTCGAGCAGCGCTTCCAAGGCCATGCGGCCCCCATGGGCGCACAGGATTTTGGTGATGAAGCAGCATACCCCCGGGTCAGCCATGGCGCGCTGTGCTGGCCTGGCCGCGGCAGGGACTCTGCTCCAGGGAGAATCGAAACTTACTTAGAGTCCCGGGGGCGGGCGCGGGCGGCGCGCGGGCTGGGCGCGCCCGGGGCGAGGGAGCGTGCGCTCTCCGCCGCCTCTAGCTGAGTCCAGCGGTTTCGGTTTCCCAGTAAACTTGGGTCGAGAGGCCAAATCTCACCGTCCTGTGTCAGATTTAAAGTCAATCGCGACGGTAACCTAGTGGAGAGAGGGCGAACAAGCGCGGGCTGATCTGCCGGCGACGCGGCGACCACCGGACGGCTCCTCAAGGGTCAGGCTCCCCAAGGGTCAGGCTCCCCAGCTGGGCACCGAGAGGCTTCTTCGGAAAGAAGAGAAACTAAAAACTGATCTCGGGGCTCTGGTGGAGTTTTTATAAACCAGCCAAAGTGACGAATGACGCGAGTCTTGGGAGCTTTCTTGAGGAGTGCTAGATTCTCTACCCCACCCGTCCCCGGAAAGAACAGACCCAAGTGAGCGCTTTCTCCGAATAAATAAATTTATAAAAAGAAAATATAATCGTAAAAAAAGTGATCATTGTACTGTGGTTATACTAATAAAATAGAGTTTTTAATCTTTGGAGATACTAAAGTATTTACAAAGCAAAGAGTCTCTGGCATTTGGTTTAAAATAACACGTTTGAGTTGGGGACAGGGATGGGGAGGGGAGAATAAATGAACCAAGACTGGCCTTACTGTACTTTGAAAACTGTTGAACCGATGGGCACATAGGGGTTCATCATTCTCTTTTCTTTACTTTAGTGTATGTTGAAAATATTCATAGTAAAAAATTAAAAGATAAGAAGCCTATGTATTTAAAACTAACAGCCAACACTAACTGGTGAAGAATTTTTCACAACAGAAATGATAACAAAGCCTTCCATCTCCATTGTTATTCGGTAGAGTGCTAGAATGTTCCTTCCTCTTTACTATTCTCTACCCTCTTTTCCTCCTTCCTGATTTTATTTGCCGACTTAGATGACTCCTTCCATACACATAACTTCCTGAAACTCAGAAATAGACTTTCAAATTGTTGCCTCACGACATAATAAATATTTCTTTTTAACAATGGGGCATATTTTTAAAATTTTAGTTTTGCTCTAAACAAATTTTTTTTTTAATTATCTCCTCTACCACATCCATTTAAAACATCTGTCTTTTGTATGTTTTATCAGACAAGTATTGCGAGTGAGTACTCTAAAGTTTTTCGCTAATAAGCGCATACTGGAAAGTTTGATGACCACCATTTTGGACACTAAGACACCACTTAAAGTTCTTAAGGATGGAGGAAGTGTGACAAGTACTACATCAAGAAAAATAATTTAGCAGAAGTACATACGGATAGGAAAGATGGGGAGAAAGGCTATGGTCAGAGAAAATCATTCATTAATTCAACAAGGCATTCATTTAGAAGTGAGATGCGAAGTAGGAACCAGACAGGGAAGGGACGGGATTGGTCAATAAAAGAACTTGGTGTTTAAGGTATTACAAAGGAGGAAGGACAGTTTGGGGTTTGGGGGGAGTGTCACAGACCCTGCCCCGGGGGAAAGAAGATGAGTTCGACACAGCCTGGCAGGATATTCAGGTGCAGATGCTCCTCAGACCCCTGGAGATGAAGAACCTAGAGTCAGTAGGAAGGCCGGGGCAGCGGATGTACACAAGGAAGCCATCTTTGTAGATCTGACGACTAAACCCAAGGAAGTGAGGGCTCTCGGGGAGAGACCTGGAATACAGATACATCAAAAGGCTTAGCTGAAACCTTGCGGCACACCTGTATTCAGGAAGCAAAAAAAGAACAAGTGGGAACACAGAAGCAGCTGCCTGGGAGATATGGCACACTGTCTCAAAGTGGTCCCAAAGGTAGGCGGTCAGCGGTGCAGGCCACCGCGGGGCCCACGGGAAAGGAGCTCTGGAAGAGGGCCCATCATTGGTAACCTTGAATAGAACCATTCTGGTCTTGGTGGTGCGGGCTAGAGTCAGATATCAGAAAAGTGATAATGAGGGGAAAGGAGGAGCTTGGAAAGGAAGGCCAAGCAGAGATCCGCAGCTCGCAGCGATGGAGACAAATTCCGGGATCGAGTCGGCTGGGGGGCTGGGAAGACCACACAATACCTAGGGAGTAAGGTAGCAGAGAGGGAAGACTCAAGATTCCAGAGAATGGAGGCATTTTCTTTCGTTCCCAAACCTGCATCCAAATTGTCTAGGCCCTTGCTTGCCCGAAAGTACTTTATCCTTACGGAGGTGGGGAGTTAATCGTAGTCTTCACCGGGGCAGTAGCGCGCTAGCCATATTCGAAGGAAGGTCTGAAGGCGCTGGAGGGAAGGGAACCTTCGAGAGCAGAAGCGTGGGCCCAGCAAGAAGGGAAGCAGAGGAGTGAGCAGCTGGAGGAAGAGGCATCGGGTGCGAGGTCCCCGCGAGGGCGCGCCCCTCACGGAGCAGCAGCCGCGACAGTCCTCCCAGACCGGGACCGGGGAGACGCCCCTCCCTCCCAGGGCACTCACCGCTCCGACTGCGAATAGTGGCACCGGCCCAACAGGTTGAGCTTGCAGAGGTGCAGGTTTCCGCAGGGTTTGTTGCAGTACTTGCGACGGCAGACCCGGGCTCGAGTGGTGGCCACCACGGACCGGATGACCCCTTCCTTGCCGCCAGTCTCCAACACCACGAAGCGGTCGGGCCCGGCCTCTTCCAGCACCTCGCAGACTTGCGCCTCGGAGAGCTGCATCTCGTCGAGCAGCGCTTCCAAGGCCATGCGGCCCCCATGGGCGCACAGGATTTTGGTGATGAAGCAGCATACCCCCGGGTCAGCCATGGCGCGCTGTGCTGGCCTGGCCGCGGCAGGGACTCTGCTCCAGGGAGAATCGAAACTTACTTAGAGTCCCGGGGGCGGGCGCGGGCGGCGCGCGGGCTGGGCGCGCCCGGGGCGAGGGAGCGTGCGCTCTCCGCCGCCTCTAGCTGAGTCCAGCGGTTTCGGTTTCCCAGTAAACTTGGGTCGAGAGGCCAAATCTCACCGTCCTGTGTCAGATTTAAAGTCAATCGCGACGGTAACCTAGTGGAGAGAGGGCGAACAAGCGCGGGCTGATCTGCCGGCGACGCGGCGACCACCGGACGGCTCCTCAAGGGTCAGGCTCCCCAAGGGTCAGGCTCCCCAGCTGGGCACCGAGAGGCTTCTTCGGAAAGAAGAGAAACTAAAAACTGATCTCGGGGCTCTGGTGGAGTTTTTATAAACCAGCCAAAGTGACGAATGACGCGAGTCTTGGGAGCTTTCTTGAGGAGTGCTAGATTCTCTACCCCACCCGTCCCCGGAAAGAACAGACCCAAGTGAGCGCTTTCTCCGAGCCCGGCGCCCTGCCTCCGGTATTAGTGAACCTTTACAACTCCACGAGTTAGATATTGTCATCCTCACTCTACTTAAGGAAGTAATTTGAGTAAACACAGCCTACAAGCTGGAGCCTGGGAACCTGAGGTTCCCCAAATCTGGGCCCCAGATCGTGGTCTGCCTGGCCAGGACCGATGTGAACTTTCTCTCACACCACCCTTCCTTCTCAAAGGACAAGGATTATTGCTCTCCCTCTTTTTTGCCTTCTTATGAGCTCTTTGAAGAACCACTTCTTGACACATTCTTGCCTGTCTATAGTCGCTAACAGAGGTGCCCCAGACACCGCTTAATCCCTGATAGTAATCAGTCACAGTCGGGCAGGCGTGCTTAGACATATCCCAAGGCTTCAGATAGGTTCCTCTCTTTGGATATTTGGACAAGACCTTTTCCCCCAGTGGGGACTCACTTGGACCCCCAGAGTTGGCATAAAGTGAAAACATTTGAACTACAGAAGATACAGAAAGAAATTTTATCTGAGTTTCTCTTAATCTGACTAAAGCAAAGCCTCCTGAAAATACAGCTACCTTTCAACCCTTTCCAAGGGAGTTTCCTGCTAATTCAGTTGCCCTGGAGACAGAATGTCCATTGCAATTAGCATCAAAAAGCCCAGTAGAACCTTCCATACTCTCCCACTGAAGTCCTAACAACCCCCCTTTTGTTAAACTGAGATATATAAAGTTACTTCAGGCTATTCCAGGAGGTTTCCATTATTGAAAACTGCCCCCCCATGCTAAATAAATCTTGTCTTTTCTCTTTTTAATCTGTCTATTGTCAGTTAATTTGCAGGACCCAATCACTGGACTCAAATTGGAAGAGGCAAAAGGTTTTCCTCCCTACACTCCTAGGTGATATGGGTCATTGATGGGATAAGTAATAAACCTTTTTTTTAAATGATAGAATTCAGTTGTCAAACTAGAAATTCTTCAAAATGATTAATGGGCATTCTCAGATTGGTAATTCATGATTTATGATCAGAGTCTCTTAGGAATACAGTACTTTGGTGTGAAAACCAGCGAAAGCTAGGTTCCCTCTAGCTATTACTTTATAGTTTCCTTTAATCCACTTGGCCTGATTTGTGGTCTGACAGGTTCCCAGGGACTGGGCTTTGAATATCAAATCAATTAAATTCACCACAGTATCTTCTATGTGGCCCTTACTTTAGCTAGTCACTCTGAACATACAGAAGTTTAAGAAATAGTCCCTGCACTCAAGGAGCTTATGTTTGGGAAGACATGAGAAAACATTAAAACATAAGGGAGGGCTTCCCTGGTGGCGCAGTGGTTGAGGGTCCGCCTGCCGATGCAGGGGACCCGGGTTCGTGCCCCGGTCTGGGAAGATCCCACGTGCCGCGGAGCGGCTGGGCCCATGAGCCATGGCCGCTGAGCCTGCGCATCCGGAGCCTGTGCTCCGCAATGGGAGAGGCCACAGCAGTGAGAGGCCCACGTACCACAAAAAAAAAAAAAAAAACATAAGGGAATCCATGGTTAAGTGCTGCAACGGGGTATAAAGGAGGTTGGAGAAAAGTACAGTTTGGCTAGAGTGGTTGGGATTGGAGATATAAAATTCCCCTGAATTTGAGGCCCTGAGAA